AGAACTATTTTTAATTTTGTATGCAATGATAGTTCTATCGATAGAGGATTGGACTTTGATCAATTTAAGCAATTCGTATCCATATTGAAAACAAGACATGACATTACTCGTATATGGAATTCAATTTGCGGTGAAAACAAAAGTATGACCTATGATACTTTCAAAATATTCATGACGGAAATTCAGAAGGAGAACTTCACGGAAGAGTACTTAAAAAAGATATTTAAAAAATTCTGTATTGAAGATAAGACCTACTGGATTCCTGAGAACTTTAATAATTTCTTATTATCAAAATATTCAAGCCCGATGTACAATGCTGCGACAAACGAAAGTTACTTTGATCACCCATTGAACGAATACTTTATATCATCATCTCATAACACGTATTTGATGGGTAGACAAGTTGCGGGGGATTCATCAATTGAAGGTTACATAAAAGCTTTGCAAAGGGGGTGTAGGTGTGTTGAAGTTGATATCTGGGATGGGTATATCGATGGTACAGATAATAATGATAAAGCAAATAGCGAACCTATAGTTAGCCATGGTAGAACATTCACCAGTTCTATTTCGTTGAATAATGTGTTCAAAACTATAAAGAAATATTCCTTCATCACCTCGCAGTTTCCTTTGATAATAAGCCTCGAAATAAATTGCTCTATTGATAATCAACTTAAAGTAGTTAAAACCTTAAAGGAAGTGTTGGGAGATACTCTAGTCACGCAACCCATTGATGATAAGTTAACTTTGCCTTCTCCATTGCAATTGAAGCACAAAATTTTATTGAAAGTTAAAAAGACTAGTCCTTTCAATGATCTAATTGCTAGTGAAAATGGAAACTACGTTTCTTCTACCACTTCAACTACCACATCGTTTAGCGAAGATAACGGATCTGGTGGAACTAAAAGAAGGTCTTCTTTTAGTATTAGGAGGAGAAAAGCAAGAAAAATTACTGATGTGCTAAGTGATTTGGGTGTTTACTTGCAGGGTTTGAAGTTTAGAAATTTTTCATTACCTGAGTCAAAAACTTTCAATCACTGTTTTTCATTAAGTGAAAAATCAATTAATACAATGCTTAAAGATGAAATTAAATGCGCTTCAATTGATAAGCATAACAGGAAATACTTCATGAGGGTTTATCCATCGAATATCAGATTAAAATCATCAAATTTCTTACCAATGAAGTATTGGTCTCACGGAGTACAAATGGTTGCCACAAATTGGCAGACATATGACTTGGGTCAGCAAATTAATGAATCTTTGTTTGAAAGCACCAATAGGAAGGGTTATGTGCTAAAACCAGACCAACTACGAAAACCGCTATTAAAATCATCAAATAGACCCTTAAGCACAAAGCAGACAATCACAACCAAGTTAGAAATAGAAATAGTTAGTGCCCATCAACTTCCCAAACCTAAAGGATCAGTATCTGCTATAAATCCTTTTATCAATTTTGATATTACAGGAGCTAGCGATATTACATGGGATCATGGCTCATCCCCCTTAAGAACTTCAATTATCCCTGAAAATGGATTCAATCCTATATGGAATGAAAAATTTAGTGGCACAATAACTTCGTCCGATGACTTCGTTTTTCTAAGGTTTTTAATTAATGCTTCTTCATCGGTTTCAGAAGTAGAAGAAGTTCAACCTATTGGCATCCTAGTATGCAAATTATTCGATCTCAAGCAGGGTTATAGATATCTTCCAATAAATGATTTACTAGGAGAAGAGTTAATATACTCTACATTGTTTGTGAAGATCAATTATCGGGAATTATGACACCCGAGGTTCTTGAACTTATGTATTATACCAACTCCCACTAATGTTAGATAGCATCTTGTATATATTTAATTAATGATAAACTCACGTGAACAATTTTTTTTTTTGAATCTCATCTGATTTATGAAATATTCTATTAAGACCATCAAGTTTTCTAATTTATTCTGAAGATAATTGGGAAACACTATGGGTAAGATAACAGTAAGTGAAACGAAAGGAAAAGTTCGTCATAATCCATTATACAAAGATATTGAATCGCAAGGTGGGAATTTGAGATCGACTTCATCTCGTTCACATCAACAAAAAAATACTGAAAATAACGAAGAGCACTTTCTAGATGCAGCAGCTTCGAGAAAAATCTTACAGTTGGCTAAGGAACAACAAGAAGAATTGGAAGATGAAGAAAATTCTGGAAAGAATAGACCAAGCTTTTTAGACACTTATAGATCCCAGAGGGATGAAGAAGAGGAAGAAGAAGAAGAAGAAGAAGAAGAGGAAGAAGAATACTCTGAATTCGAAGAAGATGAGATAGCCGAAGAAGAAATAGAGGTAGATGAAAAAGATGCTGCTTTATTTGAAAAGTACTTTGCGTCGAATGGGCCAGGAAATGGTTCTATAAATTTGGCAGATAAAATCATGGCTAAAATTCAAGAAAAGGAAACTGTTAAGGAAAATACCAGTAGGCCAGTTGATGCCGTATTGTTGCCACCAAAGGTTATCTCTGCATATGAAAAAATCGGACAAATTTTGTCTACTTATACTCACGGAAAGTTGCCAAAATTATTCAAGGTTCTTCCAAGTTTACGTAATTGGGAAGATGTGTTGTTTGTAACAAATCCAGAAAAATGGACTCCACATGCTGTTTATGAAGCAACGAAGCTTTTCGTTTCTAATTTACAAGCTAATGAAGCTCAAAAGTTTATTGAAATCGTATTATTGGAAAGATTCAGAACGTCGATTGAAGATTCAGAAGATCATTCATTGAATTATCATATTTATAGAGCATTAAAGAAATCTTTGTATAAACCAGGTGCATTCTTCAAGGGTTTTTTGTTTCCATTAGTTGATTCTCATTGTTCTGTAAGAGAAGCAACTATTGCTGCATCAGTTTTAGCTAAAATTTCTGTACCTGTATTGCACTCATCAGTTGCATTAGCACAGTTAGTGCAAAGGGACTTCAAGCCTTCTACTACTGTCTTTATTAGAGTCTTGATTGAAAAGAAATACGCGTTACCTTACCAAACTTTAGATGAGCTAGTTTTTTATTTCATGCGTTTCAGAAAAGCGGCTCAAGTGAATGATTCAATGATAGATGAAGAAAGAGAAGAACCGCAATTACCTGTTGTTTGGCATAAAGCATTTTTATCGTTTGCTCAAAGATATAAGAATGATATTACTGATGATCAGAGAGACTTTTTATTAGAAACCGTTAGACAAAGATTTCACCATGCAATTGGCCCTGAAATCAGAAGGGAATTATTAGCGGGCAAACCAAGAACACCTCCTCAACCAGTCAAAGAAGCTATTATGATTGATGCTTTTTAAAAGCCTTGTCTGCTACTCTATGTATTTTTAGAATTATATTATTTTGAACTTGCTTATGAATATATTAATAATTTAGTAAAATATAATTTATATATAAGTATACTATACTGCGACATTAGGGCCGTCATCGGAAGTTCTTTCTCTAGCATCTGCACAAAGCTTATCAAAGTCAGCAAATAATGCAAAATAACTTTGAACGACACCAATTATAGTTAAAGCTACGGTGCTACCAACCCAAAGGCCATGCAAAGTCCCCCCATACTTTGAATAAAATGTCAAGTAGATAGATAAAGGCAAACCAACTACATAGTAGGATACTAGGTTGACGATACCACCAATTTTTGTTTGCCCTTGACCCCTTAAGCAACCCGCTGAATTGGCATTCATTGCATCAGAAACTTGCATTAATGCAATTAACCACATAACTCCTTCAACAGCCTTTATGACCTTTTTGTCATTTGTAAATAGTTCGGCTATTTGAGTTTGAAAACAGAATAACACCAAAAAATTAAAAATAGATATAACAAGGCCGAAACTCAAGGAGACTTGTGTCGCTGTTTTGGCAGCTGAGCCCAAATCTGCCCCTAAAAAGTTAGCGATACGAGTAGATGAAGCAATACCGATCGCAAAAGGAACCTGATACGTAAGTGACGCCATAGTCGTACCAATTGACTGTGCAGCTAACGCAACAGTGCCTAAGTATGATGCTAATAAGGTCAATATTTCAAATGCGAGAAATTCTGCTTCCAACATGATTAAACCAGGTATTGCTAAATAGATTAATTTATCCCAAGCTCCGAAAGCTTCTTTGATATTAAGCCCATTCCAACAAATTAATGGATGTAAGCCTGTAGGCGTACTTTCCGGCTTTACAAAATAGACAACAGCAGCAAATAAACCAATTGCCATAAACCAATAATTAATTGCTACTGCAATTGGTGCACCAATATATCCCAAATGTTTAACGAATAACCAATTCATGAACAAATTTGATGGGGCCGCAAACAATAAAACTACAGTTGAAATGTGGTAGATACCTTGAGCTTGTAAGAATCTCTTACCACACTCAAATAGAATATACGCTGGAATACCTGGAGCAATATATTGCAAATAAACTGCAGCATATTTAGCAGTTTCTTTATCAGGTAAAATAAGGGTAATCAATTCATACCCAAAAAAGACCCATAATAATAAGATAGGTGCCATAATAGTGAAAATTAATGCAGTACACTTTTGCAAGTAGACCCCAACAAGCAGATACTTCTTTGCTCCGAAGGCTTGAGGACATAATGTATCTAATGCAGTTGCAATACCTTGAATGGTGGCATAGCCAGTTATATTTGCAGTCATAGATCCCATAGAAACAGCAGCTAATTCTACAGCACCCAAATGACCAACAGTAAATATGGATACCGTTGAAAGTGAATTTTGTAAAAGAAAAGTCACAACCAATGGGATCGATGAAATTACTAACGACTTTAGTTCGATAGCTGCTGTAGTGGCAGATATTTTTTTCGATACGATAGCATCTTCAAATGTGTCTATAACGTCATCTTCACTTCCTTTTGAAGCTACTTTAATATGGTTATCTTGTAAGAAATGCCTTTCTTGTTCTATAATTTCTCGAGTAACGCTCGATTGACGACGATATTTTCTGCTACTAACTGCAGCTGGGCGATTCAACAATTGAGTACTTTCATCAGGTGTATTGGACTCAAAACCTTGTTCGTCGTCAAAGCTTATATCAGCATTGTCACTTGGTTTGATAAAATCTGAAGGAGTAAATAAACCACCCTTACCAATAGAACCGTATACAACTGAAGCCCTCCGCTGGGAATTAGAGTGAGTGAATTGATGTGTCCTTTCGTGAGAGGACATTTTAAAACGTTTATAGTTATATTCAAAAAAAATATCCCTTCTAAGGTGAAGAAAAAATTGAAATTTAAATTGATAACAACTTCCGGATTAAGTCGACCAGTTTCAGATAGAAAATCTGAGTATTCGTATTTTCAATTTCTCTACTACCGAACAAAACATAAATTCAAACTTAATATACACACTATGTTACTAATCTACTTATACAATACTATATGATATGGGTAATGCAAGTTGATCAACAATAGTATTATTGTTGATCATTGATATTTGACAATAATTGAGCCAAGCATCTCTTCGTAGCAACATCATCCTGTAAAATTAGAGAGAAGGTACCATCTCTTAATGGTTCAGGCAAAATATTAGCCAATGCCTTTCTAGCTTCTAGGTTATCCGACAATCTCATATAACATCTCACAACATGCTTTAACAACCTTCCGGAACTATTCGAAGGCTGTTGGGGTGTTTGAGAATTAGTGGTGGCACTTAATTGGTCAATCATCTTGGACAAAACTGAAGCAACAGTATGGAACCTTTCATAAGTGGTGCATATGTAAGATAATCCTTGATCATCAAGAAGAATTTTTTGCAAAATGAAAATTGCTACTGTTTTAGACAATTCTGATGAAATTTCCATTATGTTCAAACATAATGGTACAATTTCAGTTGTCAACAAAAAATTAATCACTTCAGGTGTATCATTCTTGACTAAAGCTCCAATAACACCCAAACTTGTCAATCTTAAATACTCAAATGATCTTTGTCTTGCATTAGTAGACAAAAATGGGTAAAGATACAATGGTAAGTTGGCACTCAAAAACAACCCTCTGGTTTGTACATTGGATGCCACACATTGAAGTAATGCTAATGCGTTACACACTCTATTAGAAACGGAAGCAGTTAATATTGGTGGGTTTAAAAATGGATAAACTGATATAATTTCTTCCAATAATACAGTCATAACTCCAAATGAATTCCATAATACCAAGGCCAAGTCATCATATTGTTCTCTTTTTTTCCCCAATTCCAATAATGCACGTTCCCTATTAGTACCGGTAACTAATTCAGATATCCACTGATAAATTTGTTCATCGTTCAAGGCATTATTCTTAGGAGCAATATTGCCATCAGGTTGATGTCCTTGAGGGATAGAAGCTTGCGATTGTGGTTGGGCCGCAGCGCTATACATCCTTTCTATATATTATCCTTCTCTAGTAAGATTTATCTAAACGTATGGGAAATAAAAAGAATACTTCACCAAAGTCCGGTCGAGCTTTGCTTTTGATGAACACTAAGAGAGGACGCTGAGCTGAACACCCGACAAAAAAAAACGACCTCGGTGAGGGTCGAACTCACGATCTTGAGATTAACAGTCTCACGCCTTAGCCAACTTGGCCACGAAGTCTAACAGATGTAGAGCTTTAATGTCTATTTTTATCCTTATACCACAGTGATAAATGATTAAGCCATTCTAGTTTACAATCCAATTACAAAAGGCGTTGATTTAAAGAAAACTATAAAATAACAACAAAGCAATATATTTAAAACTTTTTAAAGTGTCTACTATCTAATTATGATCATCCATCAATTTCTTCGTATTTCTCTATTCTATCTTCTGCTTTATCTTCATCATCAATTTTAACACCACCACTTATAGAATATTGACCACCAGCATTTATCTGCTGAATATCATGGTATTTTGTAGCAGTGTTTACAATTCTAGTTGGCTTTTCAACATCCTCATCTAATGGGCCTAAACCTGGTGCATACGTATCACCGAAACCCCAGGCGTATACAAAACCATCATCAGTTACAGCAAATGAATGGTGTGACCCACATGCAATAGCCTTACATTTGACACCGTTATCTGGCTTCGATCCAAATTGAAGCTTGGTAGGAGTTGGAACTGATCTAGCATTTCCATGTGCGTCCTTGAATGTGTATTCTGGTAACTTGTCCTTTGGAATACCTACTTCTTTCATATCATATCTACCCCAAGAAAGAACCAGACCATCTTCAGTTAATGCCATTGAATGATGTTCACCAGCACAAAGTTGGGTAATACCTTTCTTAGATAATTCAGGAATAACGGTAGGTGAGGTAATTAAAGAACCATCTTCTAATTTACCGTCTGCGTCAGTTAAAGCACATTGACCGAATTGATTCAAACCCCATGCATATACCTGGTCATCGTGATCAATAGCAAAACAATGGAAGTCACCACTTGCAATATACTTGATGTTGTATAATCCAAATTGCTGTGGTTCTAAACCACGGTAACGATGTCTTTCTAAAATACGACGACCCAACTGAAATTGTTGGCCATTTCCCCAAGCGTAAACAATACCTTTTGAATCCAACGCCAATAAGTGATCTTTTCCTCTTGCTAATTGAACAATATTCTTCAATTGTTTAATCTTTAAAGGTGTCCTTTGCAATTTAATTTCATCTCTTAAGAAACCTAATAAACCTTCATTACAACGGAAGCAGCCCCAAGCGTACACGTCACCGTTGTCATACAATACAGCACTCAAGTTATCAGTAGCTGCCAATTGAACAATTTTTGCACCTTTAAGTTTTGGTAGATTTTCAACCAAGCCCGGAGTGGATTCTGCTTCGTTCAAATCACCATCGTCATCATCTTCAGAATCATCAGCATCCATATCCTTCAAGACTTCCTTAACTTTCGATGTATCTCTACCCAAAACACCACTGTCGTTACCACCCCATGACCAAACTCTATTATCAGAATCTAAAGCCAAAGTATGCATACCACCAGCGGCAAAATCAACGATTTTACTATCGCCCAAATGCTCACTAGTCAAAAATGGATTCAACCTTGGTCTTTTAACTTCTTTAGTTTTAGCAGAAGGCCCAAGACCTAATTCACACATTGATCCTGTACCCCATACAAATATATCTAAAGGGTTGGTTTTAGCCAGAGGAATAGCATTAAGGTCTGGCAATTTTGAATAAGAATGCAATACAAAGGAAGAAGTTGCACTCTTCAATTTCTTAGTGCCATTAGATTGCTCAGGACCTGAGATCTTTCTTTTTCTTTCTAAAGCAACCATTATACTGTTATTATATACGGACTATCAATTTATTAAAATACAAAATAGAAGAACACTAGTCTACTAAAAGCTTCTTTTCATGTAGATCATGGATCATAAATATATCAAAAAAGGATGAGAAAAAAACATTTGCGACATTTCATTTCATGAAAACGACAAAGTACTAAACATGATTTCTAATGTATTAAAGGTCTAATATTCTAGTATTATGAGGGTATTATTATCAATGGAAAAAGAAAATATGTAAAATATATGTATCTAAATTGTCTAATTTTGTAAATAGAAATTAATTCAAAGGATTTGTATTTGGTGCCGCATAACCTTCTCTCTTATGGCTCCACTTGCTCTTGGTTTCGACCATGAATCTCGCTGATTGCTGAATAAGGTAACCAAATGAACCCACAGCTCTAAATAATGCCAATATGGCGACTGTCCACAAAATGAATGCTAAATAGATATTTTTGTCTGTTGCACCAGGCTCGTACACTTGTAACATTGTCATGATGAAAATTAAGTTAACAAGTAACCAAATCAAGACAACTCTCGAACGAACATCCTTGGCATAATCTTCACCCTCCAATTGTGGGGGTGGTGGACGGGCAGTTAAGACTTTCTTATTAGATCTTCTGGCTCTGATATTGTACAAAGTTTCGAGGTATACTTCTTCAATATTAACATCCACAACTACGGCTTCAAATTCTCCCTTTTCATTCTTCTGAATAATGTATTGATTATCTTTATCTTCTTGTGGGTTGTTATCTCCCTTTGTACCCCATGAAACATCGTGTGTATTACAGAATGCAAAGATCTGTAAAGTACAAGTATAAGAAGGAATCATCAAAAAGTATTGTAATGAACATGTTAACATATGCCATGGATCCAAATATAAGATAGACATTAAAGTGTATAAACCATAAGTCGACAACAATGACACAACAATACTTACGAAAACATAAGTAGATGAATCCCCCATTCCATAGCTTTCGATGGTACTGAAAACAAAATAAAATCCTACTATCAACGCATATAATGCACACACAGTTAATAATATAACCAATGTCTTGAAGATTTTTCTGGAGGCTTGGGGTCTATTACCAATCGAAACAATGAATAACGAAGTTAAGCAACATATACATAAATAATTGAATAGGGTGAAGATCCAGAAACCTCCATTATTTCCGATGTTCTTATTATCGACTAAGGAACCTGTTAAAAAGTAAAAAGTCAAATAAAAGTTACTCAACGAGAAGAACGAAAACAAAAGGGAGACAAATTGGTAAATGAATTCGATATGCAAAAAGAACTTTCTGGAGAATGAATGATCGGTAAGCCAAATACTATTGAAATGACGTAAAGAATATAAGGCTGCGAAAAATGCACCATTGATCCAACGTCTTCTTTGTGATAAAAATTCAGAAATTGATTCAGGTACGTCAGTTTCTCCAGTCGCCAGCTTAACAAACTTCAATACCCAATTATCATTTCTTTTGGAGACCAATTCCCAACACAAAATACGATCTTCTGCTAAGTACATATTTGCTTCGAAGAAATTTGTTTTGCTGTTATTTTTACCGTCGTTTTGTTCGTTTAACAAATCATCACCTTTGAAATAAGATGCCAATGGACCTGTACCATCTTCATGGTTTTTCAACGCAATATAACGATAGGCCGACAACGCTCCTGGCAAAACTGAAATATATCCAAATAAAGATTCTAATGGCTTATCTAAGATATTTGACATCTTATATTCGAAATTTTGCGATGCAACCAATGGATTAGTCAAATTAATCCACCCCTTTCCTTTTATGGCCTTAATCTCACCCGCTGCACCAGCAACATTTGAATCCCTATCGAATGCTTTCCATAAATTATAAACAGCATGACTATCAGGTTTTGTTCCAACATCTAACAAAATGACCACATTGGGGTCCAAAACAGGACAAAATGCGTTAAACAACCATCTATGTGAATTGATCTTCTTCTGGTTTTTTTCTTTCAAGCAAAACATAACTTGGACTGGAGCAAGACACTTTTCATCACCTTTGAATTTCAAGTTTTCATCAATCGATATTTGAGTTGTGTATTCAAATAAATGAGCATTAACCTTTTTATTATTCACATACGGTCTTGCCAAATTTTCTTGATAACACCCAGTGGCTGTTAATAATTGCAAAACGGAACTATTAACCTTATTTCTTCCATCCGCTACAATTATAACTTGAATCTTTTTCCAGCCATCCTTACCCCATACTGATGATTTATGTCTAGAACATAAGTGAGCAACATTTTTCATAACACCATGCATGGTTCTAGAAAAAGAGAATTCGTCTTCATTATACATTGTAATACAAATCACAATTTCCGTTTCTCTTCCATATTTTGCAGCTCTAATGGTAAATCCATCTTCGACGAACTCATCAGGTTCAGAAGTACATGCTGTATATGTCATGTTTGTAAATTCACCAAAAGGTGATTCAGTTCTGGTCAATACTTTCTTTAATTCGTTAGGGATTGGGTTTTCAAGCACTAAATTACCAGTACTTCCTCCAACTAACCTGACTTTACGCTTTGTTACGGTCTTATCTCCTGTTGGGACATAACCGTTATCAATATTATGCATCATTTCTCCATCAATTGATGCTCCAAAGTATTCACTTTCTTCTGCTTCGCCTGAAGTATACGATGGGCCACTGTATGCTGTAGAATCGGAGTACAACGACCTTTCCTCTAGTTCATGTGCTTTTTGGTAGGAATCATAATCGTAGCTATTCCTCGATTTATCATCTGTAATAGTTTCCTGGTCTTCCTCATGTGGGTTTGCTTCTGCAAATGTTTCAGGAGAAAAAATTGGCTGAGGTGGTTCTAAGAATCTTTCGCTTCTAGCAGAACTGTTGATCGATTTCCCAAATTGCGAACGTCTTGGTGATCCCAGAAGTTGATCTGCAGCATGTCCTTCGTCATCGTCGCTGTCAATGAATACTTCAGTCTTCCGTTGACGCTTTGGTGATTCTCTAGATGTGAATTGTGATCTTGGTGTTGTTCCTTCCCCAAACTGAAGATTTGGTGCATTCCCAAGACCATTTCTCTGGTTTCTATTTGCACTTGCTACACTTCTGGTGAATATATTTGGGGATTGTCTGTATGGCAGTTGTTGGGTTGATTCTGGAAACATCATAAGTTCCTCACTTGCTTCATCATCGTCATCTTCTATTCTATGGTATCTTCTAGGTGATGACCGGTCACTTGTGAATGCAGCATGCGGTAAAGAAGGATGTTGAGGGTCCACAAAAGGTCCTTCATCTTCTTCAAATGGGTTTGACATTTTATATTTGAAAAAATCCTTTTCTTCAATAATATGTCTTTGGCAAAAGGAGAAGTATTGATAAACTTCTTTCTAGTTTTATAAATATCTAGACTAGCATCAGGTTTCAGTCTGTTTACATTTCATAGAGCTATATTTTTGTTTACAAAATTTCCTAAAGAGGAAGGCACATGTTTGTTCTTTTTTCAATTAAGCTTAATGCTACAATATGAGCTTGCCATGACCTTCTAACAGAAATAGGTATTACTTACCACCCGTTGCATGAGAATGCATAGATATGGGTTTTGCATGTGAGTGATTCAATTAAGTACTTTTAATAGTTCTGATGAAATATCATCTCTAAAAGCGCAAGGCCACATATCGACAAATTGTACTACACAGCATAGCCAGATTGTATAAAATTATAAACGATAAAGATGTAAGCAGTGAAATATTCGCTATATATTGCAGAATCATTCATTAATACTTACCGAAATAGATAAATAGCCTATTTGAAGTCATTCAGGATTAAGCCAATTATTATTACCAGGCTCTGATACCAAACGACAAATTCAAAAAGGGCATATTGAAGTTCAGTTTAGACAGATCAATGAAATGACATTCTGTATTAAGATTGTAGAATGTAAGCTTCATTTAGTAGAGAATTCTTCTTCTAAGATAAAAATCGAGTAAAATAAAGTGTTGCGACAAATATTTAAAAAATGCACATTATCATCATAACTTTAGTTTTATTTAATATGACCATTAGTTATGGAAGGCAATAATTCCAACTCTCCTTTCTATAATCATGGGAATAACTCCACATCATCGACATTACAATTTACACCGGGAACGAATACCACTTCTCAGATATCAAGTGTGGGATTTAATAATTTAAAAAAAGTTGGTACTAACTCCTCGCAAGTATCTACTTCTAGTACTGCTACAAATAGAAACAATCCAATAACAAGACTATTTACCAAGAACAGATCAAATTCTACTGTTAACCCACAACTGATACAATTCGATGATGGAATGAATGAACTTAATAATAGTGATGAAGACGATACTTCGACAGCATCGACAACCGACCCCAGGAAACCTTCTGGGAGTGGAATGTTTAAATTTTCGAAGAAAAATAAACTCAAGTTTTCTAGTAAGACTAACTCCAGCAAGCCTGATTTAACAATCCAAACCGGGGGACATCATGCATTAAAGGTACCCAAGAAAATCTTGAGTTCTTCTCTGTTGGATGATGCCTCGAGTCCAACAGGACACGCGTTAAAGGTCCCTAAGAAAATATTAAACCCTTCCCATATGGATGAATCGCCAAACTCAAATAGCAAGAGAAAGAATTCTGTTACTTCACCTGCATCTACATTTCACAATTTCTTTCATCGAGCACATAATAATTCACAACCAAGCAAAGATTTGCAACATATTATATCTAAAGATGATTTGATATCACTGCAGCAAACGATTAATAACAATCCAAATAGAACTGCGATGAGTCTTTCATCTAATAACTCAAATTCTTTCATTACGGATATTAATTTCGCTTTGGTGTATAATTTCACCGATCCAGATTATTCAGTAGAAGAGTATGAAAACTCCAATGAACATACATCATTTCTTGATATTCATAAAAAGTTGATGGTTCCCACGGACCAATATTTACTGAATAAGTTACATAAGCACCAAGCACAAGAGGTTGGGTTAGGGATAATAAGTGATACTGATGGAGATAGTGAATATTTGAATAAGTACTTACTCGATTTCGGTAAGAATAATGTTACATTCTTCAACAATCTTATAAGTATAATGAAACCATTGTTTCAGCCATCACAACAGAAAAGATTGAATAATAAGATTATTCATCCATACTTAGGGATGACATTGGAAGATATTTCGAATTACATCAAGGATAATTATTTGGCTGAATCCTCAAATACCCCTTCAGCTGAGTCGCATTTCCTAGAAAGGACTCCAGGGAGTAAATTATCAAAATCAAGGTCTAAGACTAAGTTTTACACATCAAGTTCTACTAGCACTTTGTCGTTAGGAGAAAATTCTAACGATATTTTCGATGATTTCAAAATCAGAGAAATATCCCAGGATTTACTAACCTTCTTTATCAAGTGTATGATCACCTTTGATAAGGATTTTGCAATTTTTGAGAATAAAATAAAGACTAAAAACTCCGTTCAAAAAGCCAACACGGGTCTGCCGTCACATTCAGTTGAACACAATAATGAGTGGAACAGAATCAGTGAACAATGGACATATTTCAACGAAAGAATACGATACTATGTTATGGGTATATTTCATCCTCTTCAAAAGCATTTACATGATATTGCAATACAAAAATTTAATAGTGACCCCAAAAGCGTTGTTGAGGTAGAAATTGAAAATATTCTACTATTAGCATTTAGAGACGTTATAGTCATCCCATTTTTGATACGAAGGAACCAAGAATACCATCGTTTATCTTCAATGGGACAAAAAATTACACCTGAGGCAAATGATTTTGGATCACCATCACCGATGCCATCTTATACTTTTCTGTTAGAAACAGTCGATGGTACAGAAGAAATTCTTAAGTCACAAGAGGAAGATGCATTAAAGTCCAATGCGACATTACTTAAAAGTCTAGTTAATTGTTTTGGTGTATTAGTTGCCCACACACATGGTGAAATAGGGAACTCTGATGGAGAACAGCACACCAGAAACAATATTTTTTCAGATACCTTCATCTGGCTAACAAACCTAGCCTAGAGGGTGCATTTGGGTAGGTATTTCTGAAAGTGGTACAAAAATAAAATAGAACGCGTTCCTCTCAGCGAAGCTTTTCAGAGTCCCATATAGATATATATATATATAACGCTATGAATATATACCACAAAGGAATTATATAAAAGGGCATTTTAGTTAATATAATGGTTTTACCAGCTCATTTGCAGAACAATTTGACGCCTTCCGAGGTTAGTTTTCTAGCAGAGAATGAATATATCACAATTTTACCGAGATACTCAATGAAGAAACTAGAGTTGATTGGCGTATGTATATGAAGCAATAGTAGAATTATGTGGCATATATACTAACAGATGTATATAGACTAAAGTTCCAACGTTAAGAGGTATGAGAAGAGAAAAAATTCCAATTTGGATAGCTGTAATCTTGAAATCTCAAGATAAATGTAATATCGTTCCTCCAGAATGGTTAAACTTATCATACTTGAAAGAAAAATACGAAGAGGAATTAAAGCAGCCACATAAGTTCAGTGTGTTGCCATGGAACTGGCTTGAAATATCGAAAATTTTACTCAATAAAGCTGCAGATGATTTGTCTGATCCTACCCATCAATTGAGATCTATAATACAAGATTTGAGAGAAATACGACTTGTGAAGTCCCGAAAAGGTTTAAAGGAATTGAATGAATCAAATATCCAATTAGACGGGCTTTCATTACTAGAAATTAACGAGTTGAGACCCTTTGTCTTAACTGTCATGAATAAATTAAGACAACTCCACGAATCTGTTAACACGAAGACGGACAAAGGATCTGCTAATGATCAGGATGATGATATGTACAACGACATATCTGATAATGAATAGTATTTTACTTCAAGTTAGTTTTCAATATCCTGTTGGCTTAAATCTCGGGTCGTGTACATAGTAGAAAAAGATCCATGAGTAATATTATGATCTGAAGGTCCGGGATATTTGGACCATCGTGATATTTATTATAGATATTATGAGTAAATTAAAGAATCTTAATCGTCAATTCATATCTAATCTTAAGACTAATGAAATTGTGACGAATGCCAAACGAAATCTAATCCTTTCTATTTTAAAATCAACTACAACAAAAAGAGAAGCGAGAAATTATCTCAATAAATATCAGAACCAGTTTGATTTTAGCGATATAACATTCGATAATGGAACACCGCTGAATTCATTGGAAACAAGAGATAGTCAGCGTGAACTTTTCATTAACAGATTTTTAAATAAACAGAACCCATTTATTAACATATATGACGATGAGACGAAATTACAAAAAATTCCACTAAGGTTAGCATTATTCAAAGTTAAATTCCAGTCAATTCTGTCGGATAATTGGAAGGGCATGGCTGAGACATTCAAACGATTAATTCATTTGGGAATATCGCCGATAATAATACTCGATTATGATCATTTACCTGCGAACACTTTTAGAAACAATGAATTATACATGTTAAGTCAAACTAATAGAATTATGAATATACTTGGAAAGCCGACAGAAGAGAATGATTTAAAGACACTTGTAATGCGGTCGCTTTTCACTAAAAAGACAGAGAATGATAAACAGCTTGTCATTGATAATTTAGAACTGGTTTTAATTCCCTTATATCAGGGTGTGGTCCCAATTATTCAACCTATTGTATATAATATATCTACATGTGTGCAAGAATTTATCGATTCTAATGAGCTTTTGTTTAATTTATGCTCGTCGTTATTAACGACTAAAAATTTACTATCAATTGAAAAAGTTGTTATGATAGATCCAATTGGTGGCATTCCTTCAATTGAAAGAAACCAGACAAGTCATGTTTTTATAAACCTATCCCAAGAATATTCCGATATAGTTTCGGAATTATACATAGGGTTTATTAAACCCGAATATAGAACTTTCCACATGAATAATTTAAAGGCTATGAATAAAATTTTGACATTTGTATCTGAAAAAACAAGAAATGATGAAGCAACAGGTATAATAACTACTCCAGATATTATGTCTCTCAATAATGATCAATTGAATCCAATAATATACAATGTCTTGACCGATAGATCTATTATTTCATCATCATTGCCGACATCACATAAACGAACTCCGGAACTTTCTACTTCAATCTTGAAAAAGGGAGTGGATGTAAACATCTTAGATGCTGTTAATTATCCTAAACCTTTTACATTGAATAATTTGGTGCAAGATGGCTTGGTAAATAACTCTAAACTTGTGAATTTAATTGATGATTCGTTTGGAAAAAAATTAGACGCTCAGAAATACTTTGATAGAATAAACAACTCTTTAGCTACTCTCGTGATAGTTGGAGATTATGACGGTGCTGCAATTATAACTTGGGAAACATGCTCTAAGACAAATGAAAAAATTGCTTATTTAGATAAATTTGCAATCGCCCGTGTAAATCAAGGCCTTCCCGGTCTAGCTGACATTATCTTCAAAGTTATTTTGCAATCTCATCCTAATGAGTTAATATGGAGATCAAGAAAAAATAATCCTGTTAATAAATGGTATTTCGAAAGATGTTGTGGGACATTAAGCAATCCAGACTCCCAATGGAAGGTATTCTATACGGGAGATATTTTTAATAAGAAAATAGATAAATTACGGAAGCGAGAGACAATTGGAGGTGTCAATATTCATAACAAAATGCATCAATATTCTGATGTTACGGAGAGTATTCCCCCTTCGTTTATTTAATAGTTAGTATAGGATTTTCTATAAATGCAAGATTTTAATGCGAATCTGTATCTTACCTTCTTTTGTAAGCACTTAATACGGACCTAAAAATGACATCGACATTAAGACAAAGAGGATCTTGTGCAGATGTAACGGAAAGTGAAAATGAAGGCGGTGCTATCAAGACGACCCCTAGCCTTTATTATTACCATGAAATAGATGAATGGCAACAAGACAATCACTTTATTAGATCAGGTTATGTTAAAGAGACATCTTCCTTTAGAGAATGCTTCAATTCATTGTTCTATTTACATAACGAATCGATAAATATACACACTCACTTGCTACCTTCGTTATTCGTTTTATTACTTATAATTTATTACGTCAACTATGAATTGCCAATTTATGATAATTATCTTGGTGTATGGGAAAAACTAAATTTTATTCAATTCGGTTTGGCTGTTACTGTATGCTTATTGATATCATCGACATACCATTGTGTTAAATCACATTCACATAGAATCAGTATAGTTGGAAATAAGTTTGATTATTTCGGAATAGTAATTTTAATTACCTGTTCTTTAAATTCTATTGTATTATTTTGTTTCTATGACGAACCCTTTTGGAAACTTGCATTCATTGCTGTGTTTTTTGTATTAGCTACAACTTGCACCATATTAACATTGGATCCTAGATTCGCTACAAATACCTACCGTCCATTAAGATCGCTAATGTTTATCCTATTTGGTTTATCAGGTGTATTACCACTTATAGCTGCAGTTAAATTATATGGATACTCTGCAGCAGTTGAGAGATCGTCGGCTGGTTGGTTAGCACTTGAAGGCGTTTCTTATATAAGTGGTGCCGTATTGTACGCCATGAGAGTTCCAGAGAGATTTACTCATGTAGAAGAGGATGAAACTAGTTTACTAGATAAGCCTTTAAGCGGAAGGTTTGATATATTTGGTCATTCACACCAAATATTTCATGTGATGGTTCTAGTGGGAGCCTTCTGCCATTGGATGAGTTTGCTAGGTTGTTACGATTATTTACATAAAGTTATATTGCCAAACGCGGTTTGATAGTTAGACAAAATTTATGCCGATCTGATTTTTTCATCTGTAAAAGAGTAGATATGAGTAAGCATTTAATCATTTTACCTTGCCATTCTATATGGAAACCAGGTGAAACGCTAGGGGAACTGAGAGATGAATGGAGTCTAGTAGATTTTCAAATTGAAGGCTATGACCACCTAAGCTTTAAGGATCATATTATTAGGAGTTTAAGCATATTGAAACATGATAAAGATGCAACGTTGATCATATCGGGAGGTCAAACAAAAGAAGACTGTGGTCCAATTTCAGAATCATTATCGTACTATGAGTTAGCTATGAAGTTAAACGATGACAGTCAATTGATCCCTAGGATCACTACGGAAGAATTTGCTAGAGACTCGTTTGAAAATGTTATATTTCTGTATTGTAGATTTTATGAGTTGTACAAAGCGTATCCAGAAAGAATAACTGTAGTCGGGTTTGAATTTAAGAAACAGAGGTTTTTAGAGAATCATTTGAAGCAAGCATTATGCATCTCGAAGGACATTAATTATGTTGGTAATGCACCAATACCCAAAGACTTGGATAAAGAAGAACAGATCAAATATTTCCAAGATTTAGAACAACAGGAATATAAACATGCCGTTCAGCATTTTGAAAAAGATTGGTATGGTATTAAAAGTCCGTTAATAGATAAGAAAATGAAAAGAGATCCTTTTAAAAGGTATCATGGATATTGTCAAAGTAACCCAAAGTTGGCAAAGTTTTTAGTTGCCATCAGTGATGAAGAAAGTCAAAAGGGAACACTGAGATCAAATGAGAGTATTCAAAGTTTACTAACTAATTTCACATAGACTTTTATTTGAATTATATACACAATATAAATTAAGCTTTAGACTTATTGACTTTTCTTCTTTCTTGCACAGCTTTACTCAAGTCGTTCAATAATTCAACAGTAGTTTCCCAACTAACACATCCATCTGTGATAGAGACACCGTATTTCAATGAGCTCTTATCTTGGTTTGGACCTGGCATACTTTGTTTACCTTCATTAATATGAGATTCAATCATAACACCGATAAGAGCATTTTCACCCTTTGAAATTTGGTCACAAACACTTTCCATAACCTTAGGTTGGTTTCTGTAGTCCTTTTGAGAATTATCATGGGAACAATCAACCATCAACTTGATATTTGTGTTGGTACTTTTGTTGATAGCTTCCTTTGCAGCAGCAACAGATTCAGGATCGTAGTTGGTGATCTTCTTACCACCTCTCAAAATAATGAAACAGTTTTCGTTACCCTTGGTAGTAGTAATGGCAGCAGTACCATTCTTGGTGACACCCATGAAGTGGTGACCCTTAGACGATGCTTGCACAGCATCTAAAGCAACACCTAAGTTACCGTCTGTACCGTTCTTGAAACCAATTGGGAAAGATAAACCAGATGCTAACTCACGGTGCAATTGCGATTCAGTTGTTCTGGCACCGATGGCACCGAAACTCAAAAAGTCTGAGAAGTATTGTGGAGAAATAGTATCCAACATTTCTGAACCGATAGGCAAGCCAGTCTTGCCGGTCAAATCAGAGTATAACTGACGAGAGATTCTTAAACCTCTGTTGATGTCAAATGAGTTATCCACATCTGGATCATTAATTAATCCCTTCCAGCCAACAGTCGTTCTTGGCTTTTCCAAGTATGCTCTCATGACAATTACCAAGTCATTTTCCAATTCTAAAGATAACTTCTTTAATCTGCTAGCATATTCTAATGCTGCTTCAGTGTCGTGGATCGAACATGGTCCAACAATGACTAAACAACGGTCGTCTTTTCCGCTTATAATCTCTGATGACTCAATACGTCCTCTGATCACTACATCCAATGATTCTTTGCTTGCTCTGATTTCATGCTGTAATAACGCAGGTGGTATCAAAGGATCGTATCCTAAAATCCTGGTATCATCGTATTCGTCTGGGATTGGTGTTTTACTCATTTTGCTATATTCTATATGATATTACGTCGAGTTCAAAAGGAAGAGATCTGAAAAAAAAAAAATCGCTGGTGCTACTACTGCCAGTACTAATTACTCTCAGTCAAATTTTCCAAGTGGCACGAAAATTATTTTTAATGACTCATTGGATCATTACACTATTTTTTGGAACCTTATACTATTGAAAGTTCAATTATAAACTATATATTAGCTCTGCTGCTCTACGATGTTTTGGGGGGCGATTTGCATCTCTTTATATATCTGTATCGTGCAATATAGTCGTACAGAAATTTCCGGATAAATATTTTTCCACCAACCATACCGACGTCATTACGTAGACGATGCCCTGTTTTATGGCCCGCACTATTACCCGGATAAATGTTTTTGTTCCCTCGAAATGTTCGCTCGGACTTAAGAACATTTCCTTGAAAATTGGATGTTTGGAGTTTATGGGTGTTAAAATTAACATCCCTACACCTGAGATCCAAACATCCCGGTCGATTTTTCTGGCCTGTTGCACGATAATATGATATGGCTTATCTTGTGAGTAGCCAATACTAACATACGGTATCGTTGATTGTGAGTTAAGTGACGATAGAATGCAATTGCTAATACCAGAATCAAGTATCGTATTTGCATCGTTCTTTATTTTTGGGCTCTTGAACAATATTCTATATGTGGTGATTCTTTCTGCTGCTATTGATCTAGTGGGCCTGGCGACACCCAAGGCTACGGTTCTACTTGCGGACATTATTCCATCGTTTGCAATAAAGGTGATGGCGCCTTTTTTTGTGGGATTGATCTCGTACAGGACACGGATATGGATGTTGGTTGGGTTGTCGTCGTTTGGGATGTTGGTTATTAGTTTGACGTCAGACGATTCGATCAACGCTAAGATCATGGGGATCTGTATGGCGTCGTTTTCGTCGGGACTCGGCGAGGTGACGTTTTTACAATTGACACACTTCTACCAACGGGAGTATTCGATTGCAGGGTTTTCCAGCGGGACTGGGGGCGCTGGGTTGCTCGGAAGCTTTGTATTCATGTTGTTGACTAACATGCTTGGGATGAAGGTATGGGTGGTACTTTTTTTGTTTGCAGTTCTACCACTTGGATTTCTAATGGCATTCTACGTGATGTTGCCTAAGGCAGGGGGAGGAGACGAGCCAGCATATGAGACGCTTGATAACATTGAGGAGGGCGATGGTCCATCCATTAACGCCAGCTTCTCGCCATCACAATCTGAGCTGTTGAAAGGCCATGTGTTCTCTACTATACAGAATATCATTCCTTTGGTAAAGCCATATATGCTCCCTTTGTGCTTGGTGTATGTATCAGAATATGTCATAAACCAAGGTATATCTCCAACCTTATTGTTCCCACTTGATGAATTACCTCATTGGCTATTTTCATCATACAGAGATATATATGTTGTCTACGGCTTCTTGTATCAATTGGGAGTCTTTGTGTCCAGATCGTCCATCAGTTTTGGGATCAGAATCAAGAGATTGTACTTGTTATCGGCTCTACAATTCGCAAACGTCCTCATCACCCTATACCAGTCCATGAACGATAAGCCCTTCTCATCCATATGGTTGTTATTGGTATTGGTGTTCTACGAAGGTCTACTTGGTGGCTTTCTGTACGTCAATACGTTTATGTCTGTCAGCGAGGAAGTTTCAAAAACTAAGAGAGAATTTAGCATGGGATGCGTAGGAATTAGTGACACTTTTGGTATATTACTTGCTGGGTGTATTAATTGGTTGTTAGAACCCCACTTATGTAGCCTACAGGTAAATAGAGGTAGAGACTGGTGTTTGACTGGAGGAGGTGCTTAGATCTTAATAGATAACGTTAAATTCGTGCACGTGAAATTTGGACAATCAGTAAAAAACCTGGAGCCACAAGATAATCACCAACTTTTTCATATTATTAGCAATTACGGATATATATATGGAACTTTATCCAGTAGATGTTCGCTAGGTTATTAAAATCCAATAGAAAAATTAATATTCGTACAAAAATGACTATTTCCAAATCCGATCCTGCTTCATTGCACAACCCGTATTTCAATCAAAAGCTGGGTCAAAAGGATATCTGGACGTTAATTAACGAAACAGCTGCTGCTGCTCAAAAAGAATCTGGAAAGTCTATTGTTAATTTAGGACAGGGATTTTTCTCTTATAATCCACCTGATTTTGCTATTGAAGCGGTCAACAAGGCTACTAGTCAACCCCAATTCAATCAATATGCGTCAGCAAGAGGTAATCCAAACTTGTTGAATGAATTGGCCAGCCACTATAGTAACAGCTTCAATCGTAAGGTGGGCACCGACGAAATCCAAATAACCACAGGTGCAAATGAAGGAATGTTTTCCGTGTTTTTTGGATATTTAACTCCTGGTGATGAAGTTATTGTCTTTCAGCCATTTTTTGATCAATACATTCCTAACATTGAAATGTGTGGCGGTAAGGTTAAATACGTCCAATTGAAATTTCCAGACAAGTTCAACGGAGATTCTGTTAGTGGTGATGATTGGGAAGTTGATTGGGAGGGATTGAAGAATGCTATTACGGATAAGACTAAGTTGATCGTTATCAACACCCCTCATAACCCCATTGGAAAAGTATTTACCGAAGAAGAGTTGTATAAGATTGGTAAAATTGCTATTGACAACAATTTGATTCTTGTTAGTGATGAAGTGTATGAAAACTTGTACTATAGCAAATCGTTCACACGACCTGCCACCTTATCGAGCTTACCCGAATTAGCAGATAGAACCTTGACTATTGGATCTGCTGGTAAATCATTTGCTGCCACTGGATGGAGAGTCGGATGGGTCCATGGTCCTGCTAGTTTAATCAAATATGTGACTGCTGCCCACACTAGAATCTGTTTCTCGACTCCTGCGCCATTACAGCAAGCAGTAGCCGATGGTCTCAAGCAAGCTGCATCAAACAAATATTTTGAAACTACGAGACAAGAATATGTCAAGAAGTATGAATTATTTACAAAGGTTTTTGATGAATTAGATTTACCTTACACATCTGCTCAAGGGGGTTACTTCTTGTTGGTCAATTTGCTGAAAGTGAAAATTCCTGAAAACTTCGAGTTCCCATCTGATATTTTAGATAAGGGAACGAATGATTTTAAATTAGCCTACTGGTTGATAAAAGAAATTGGTGTTGTAGGAATTCCGCCTACTGAATTCTTATATCCTGCTGATAGACAAGGTAATGGCCTAGAAAATTGCTTGAGATTTGCTGTATGCAAAGACGATAGTGTTTTAGAAGAAGCTGTTGATAAGTTGAGACTTTTAAAAGATTATTTATAATAGTAAATGATGCACTCTTTATTTATATACATGTTATATAGACGTTTTTCTAATGAATTTTTTAAAACAAAATCCCATTTCTCCGAAATCATCGAATCCACTTTCAATTTCATGTTCAATCTCTAAGAAATTCTTGTTCATTAATTCCCATAATAAACTTCTCTCGTCTTCAAATGTTGGACGTAATGGAATTTGAATTAAAACTCTTGAATTAGCATTTTTACAATTTATGAATTTTTCTACCATATCTACAACCCAGTATGGGTGTTTGGAAGAATATATTGGGTCACTCAAAACAATGGTATTAAACTTCTTATCGTTTCCATATTTTAATGTGAAACTCGAAGGATCACACCAATTTAACTCGTCAACATTAGCATTGATATCATTTAATTGCACATTATCCTGAAGATTGGGGACTATCTCTATTAAATCGGTTAGATACGTCTCATAACCTAATATAGAACTAACGATTCCGACTAATCCAGTACCAGATCCCAATTCCAATACTGGGCCAGCTAAATATTCTTCGCCTGATTTATTTTTATTAATTAATCTGTTTGCTAAAATCAATGATGATCCCCAAGTCTTCAAACCGAGATTATCGTTTGTCAAAGATGGCTCTTTGAGCTTAATGTATTCAGTTCCTTTCAAATACTTTGAAAGGTTAGGTAATGCAATTTTTCTAATGATTTCTGGTTGTGCCGTACGTCCACAATTTTCTGCTAGTCTTAAAGATGCTTCTTTACTAATGATTCTTTTAAGCTCAGGATCGGTAACCCAGGGTAATTCACTAGAAATAATTCGTGTTAGCCATGCGTTATATTGACTTTCATAGTTTTTTTTTAGTGATGCACTTAAATATGGTAAATAGGATAGCTTTAACTTGTTGTTGAATCTAGGACAGAAGTTTATTAGCCATTCCAATGCAGCATCTAATAATTCCTCTGTGATTTCTTTATTTTCGAAGGTTTTCCTCGTATCGATTTCCTTATCTTCATCATTAACACTCTCCGGTTTAGTAAAATTGTAAACTTCTTCGGGAGACAATAATTTCAAAAAGGTTAGGAGAACTTCTGCCGGTGGCTTCATCTGTAATAATGGCAAATCAAGTACATGTACTGGTTGAAAATTATTGTCTTCAAAGTCAACCAATATTTTATTATCTGAATAGGTATTATGGTTTACATCGCATGTATTATTGGTTTCAATATAATCTTCTTTGCTAACACTGGGTGTGAATAGCGATAGCGGATCAAAATCCATCTCCTTTTAGGTTGGCTATCTTAACTATTTCAAAATCAGTATATTTTTTTTTTCAACCATCTCAGTTACGAGATAATGAAAATTAAATCATCAAATAGGTGAATTCACCTATATTAGATTCAGTTACAACAATCTACATTGATCGTATTGGAACTTCGATCATGGTTCTACAAAATTACTTTTAAATATATCCACAGAATAAGTTCAAATATGCTTGAATTGCACTTGAACTATGGAACACAACGATCCTTATCTAAAATACTTTGTATTTCATATAATAGATATATATACCATATTTAGACGATATAGTATTACGTGCTTGTAATATTGGTTTTGTTGTTCCCTGATAAAATATTAAACTTAAACTCATCAGCCCATCTAGAAGTCAGTAACTCTACCATTAAATGACCATTCATCCCCATGCTTCAAAGGATCCTGTTTAGGACCTCCTCTTTCACCAGTGATTGGATTGACATCTCCCTCGAACTCAGGAATAGTCTTGAAATACTCTGGATGGAATCCACCGATATCTGTTTTCGTCGATGATGTGCTCAAACTATCACTATTGGCACTTCCTGTATTTTCTATTTGCTCATTATATTGATCAATAGCAGCTTGTGAATTAGCGATCTTCTGCAAAGCTTCAAATTCCTCTTGTTGCTCTTTTGGTAGCTTTGGTGGAGATGGAGTATATTCTGTACTAAATTTACTGTAACAACGAACTTCCACCCTCAAAGGCTTTAAAATTTGTTGTCTGAATATTGGCCTTATTTTCTGAATCATTTCTTATTATTCCGACGATTGAAAGAATACAAACTAAGATTTAAGAATACGTCAAAAGAAATAGTACCATGAAAAGTTTGAACTCCGTATAACGGATTCATACTGTCTGTTGTATACACACTCGACGTCCTAACAGTCTCTTATCAAATTTTTTCATATTGTCTCTATTGACATTTGGCAATAAGTGGTTACGGCTAGAGTCCGAATTGTTCTTAACTACAAATTATTTGTATTTCCACCTAAAGTCGATGCCTTGGGACTTATTTCGTTCAACCAATACAATTAATCGTGAAGTATCCCCGGGACATAATGTAGTCTATATGGTAACTTGTAATTATCAATTTTTTCCACTCAAAAGCTTGATAATACTTATATTAACTGAATTTCGGTTATCCACCGTAGCCTTTCCTTTATATGTATGTGTATATGGACTTGGCATGGGATATATAGACATATTTTGCATCAAGAGTAGGTTCACTTTTGTGTTACTTGATGTTTATCAGTAGTATCAATACAATACAAGTAGGAGAAGAACATTACATAGGACTTATTTTGTTAAACTTTAGGTATATCGTTATGCTGGATTTTCCTGATGCACCCCCTCTTCCTTCGGTAGTAGCCAAGGATCCGGATATCCTTAAAACTGTGGATAAGAGACTCTCGTATGATAAAGGCTCATCGCAATGGCTTTTTGAGGTGAATAAAGATAATACGTCAACAGAATATTACTATAACTTCATTCTTGAGAGATGGATACCAAAAACAGAAAACGAAGATAGTGATCGAAAAAGAAGTCATGAGGATGACGAAGATACTATTCAGGAAGAGGAAGAAGAAAATAAGTTGGCTATCAGAAATTTGAAAAAGCAGAAGCTCAAAGAGATGAAAGAACAAATGAATAAATCTAAAACAGATGGAAATATGAATAAGTCTGGGTTTGAAAATACGGGTATTTATATATCACAATTACCCCAGGATATTACAAAAGATGAACTAAAGGAAACTTTTAGTAAATATGGTTTAATATCAGAGGACTATAAGACAGGTGAGCCACGAATTAAAATCTATCATAATGATGATAAGCGTGATGCATTGATAATATATCATGGCAAAGAGAGTGTTTCCTTGGCTATCGAAATGCTTGATGACTCGTTTATAAGGCCACCATCTGGCAAGGAGCAGGAGAAGATAAAAGTTCAACCAGCTGAGTTCAAAAAACCAGATTCAGACAACACTAACGACAAGAAAAAAACACTCACTTATGAAGAGAAAAAGTTGTTAAATAAGAAAAAGGAAATGATGAAGAAAAAGCTATCGAGTTGGGACGATGATGAAGCAGCTGTTCAAGGGGAGGAGCTGGATAAGACGAATAACATCAAGAAGAGAATCTGGGATAAAATCGTGGTTATAGAGAAAATGTTTCGGGTTGAAGAATTTAAAAGTGATCCGTTATTAGAAATGGATTTGAAGGAGGATATTCAAGAAGAATGCAATAAACTTAAAATAGGGAATGATGTCACGAAAATTACTATCTACGATCTAAGCGGTATAATTACTGTTAAATTCAACAACAGTGACCTGAGCTTAAAATGCATTGAAAGCTTCAGTGGAAGATACTACGATGGTCTTACACTCAAAGCTTATCTCTACCAAGGTGAGAAATTCCAAAAAACAAGCCCAGAAAAGGATAATGAAGATGAACGACTTGATAGTTTCGGCAACTGGTTAGAAAAGAAATAAAGTATATAGATATATATAATAATTATTATGAAGAGAAACTCTGGTATGCTTTAACTTATCAAAGTAAGTCACAATTAACTCAAGAAAAACGC